TTTTTAAACTTGGTTTTTACAGTTGCGTTATAATAAAAAAAAGATGTTTTAAAGTAGGAAATAAATTAAGTTTCTTTTTATTCGTACATTTAACATACCAATTCAAGACTTTCGTTTACAAGGTTATGACACTGGTTCAAATATATGTGGTAAAACAAATGAAGTTAAGGCCTGCATCTTAAAAAAAAAACAATCTGCCTTATTTCCTCCATGTGGAGCCCATTCATTAAACCGTTTTGGACTCAACGCAGAAAAATTAAATCCTGATGTAATATACTTTTTTGGAAGCATAGAAAACTTCTACTGCTTGTTCTCTCAGAGTTCTGCTCTTCAAATTCTTTTAGAAACAAGGTAGAGTGAAAGGATTCAAGCCAATCGACCAATCACCAAACATTATCCTGGCGTACTTGATGTGTTAGATGTTCTTCTCTTGTGGTATGTTTTTGAACTAATACCTTCAGCACAAAACATAGCAAAAGGCTTGAAAAAATACTTCACAACATATAAATGTCTACTTATGACTAGTTTTTGGCCCAAAATACTAGCAACTATTGACAATAAGAACGTTGTCATTAAAAGCAAAAGATTACCCCTTGATTTTGAAACAGCCCTTATTCAATATTTAGCGAAGGAGATAACTCACATACGTGAATCATGGGGAAGTGTTGTTGAAGAGGCAAACTTTGTTGCAGAAGTTATTGAAATACAAGCTCATTTTCTTACAAAAAAAATTATTTTACTGAATAAGATCAAGATTTCAAAACTTCTGTAGCTTACCGAGTGTTGGATTTTATAATTTTAATTGTGTGCTATTTGAGCACACGATTTGAAGAAACCAATTCAATATGTGATTTATTCTCACCCTTTTTGAATTAACAAAAATATGAGGATGTAGACCTAAATTTAAATGCGGTTAAACTTGTAAATACATACAAGAAAGAATTGTTAGAAGACTTAATTAGTGAAATACTTCATCTGAAAAGTATTTACAAAACAGTTTTTGGAATTGAAAGATCTCCCCTCCCCAGTCCCCTTTGTCTTCTGAATAAAAATTTATGTCAAACAACTTTAAGACATTTTTACTTTGTTGCAATTAAACTGGTTTGTACAATTCCAGTATCTCTATCATTTAGCAAACTGGCAAATAAATTGAAATCATGGCAAAGAAGCACAACCAGTCAAGATTGTATAAATCATCTTGCCATATTGAAAACTTTTTTCTAAATTTATCTTATCTTAAAGTGTCTTTTAATGTCATCAAGACAGTATTTTTATAGATCCTAATTTTTGTTTTTAGTTCTAATGGAATAAACAGGCCATGTGTATTAAAAATAGCTTATGATACACTGTCAATAAAATTTAAAACTTTTTTTGACAAATATCATTTATTATACGGTTCGAACCAGTTCACGTTCAAGCGTTTAAACTTTTGCCATTTTTAAAAAAGTTTAAGTCCAAACTTTTTTCCTGTACAAATTTTGAACATAAATTTATTATATATTCAAATTCAAATTTGTACAAACCAGGGGCGTTGACAGGAAATTTTTTGGGTTCAAAAATAAACTATCGCTCCTCCCTATTTTTTAGTTTTAACTGGATTGTATTTGATAAAATATATTTTATTAATTCTGTAAACGACTTATGACATCACTAATAAAGCTGAAAATAAGATTTTTGCAGGTTAAAAAATAATTTTTTGAAAATAATCAGTTGACGTAATGTATAATATACAGGTTATATTTTTTTAAATACAAGATTTTGCTGTGTAAATTTTTTGATATAATTTAATAAATAACTTTTAATTAAAAATAAACTATATTAATACTTACCAAGGGTTTAAAAATTTATTTTATTAACTGTTCAATGCTAAATAATGTTTTTGCTAAGATGTCTAGATATGAAAATAGCTGTTTAACAAAAGGTAGCTAAGATATTTTTTAGAATTATACTTTTATGTTAACCTTATTTAAAACAAAACTGATAAGTATTTATAACAAACTTGTCAAAAACTTGTTTACTATCTATAGACAACTCTGTGTGAAAAGCTAACTATTTAGACTTTATCTAACTTTTTGCTTTGCAACTTCTTTTTTCCATTTTTTTATAACCTTTTAAGCAGCTCAGTAAAGAAAAGGTTTGCTGCTTGATTTTATTTTATTTTTTAAATTCAGCCAGTTATGTGAAATTAAACTAAATTTCCAACAGTTCAAACTGACGTAATAATCCTTTGGTTTGACAATAATAAATAAGCCTATTAAAACCTTTGGTTAAATAAAAGGAACCAAAAGATATGATGTGATCTTTCCGACTAGTATAACCAAAGCACTAATTTTTTGCAATGGTTTTTAGAAGAAACTATAGATCAGAACGTAGAAACTAAAAGACAGGTGCTTTATAACACTTTAAAGTTTTATCATTAAACATTTTGTTAAACTCAGTACTCAGATGGTCTAGCAAGGAACAGTGATAACCATTTTAAACAAAAATTTTAAATGCAGTTTTTACCCACTGGGCACAGGACGTAAAATAAACGTCTTTTATACGTTTTGGACGTCTTTTGAACGTTTAAAAGACGTCTTATTTAGGTCCTGCGCCCACTGGGTAGGGTTATTCAAAGCATATTTGAAGGTGTTAATTAACAATATTTCTAAGCATAAAGACAAAATCTTTTATCTCTTGAATAAGATTCAAACTATAAAAAACATAACTACTTGCTTGCATAATCGTGTAATTAAAAAAGATATATTACAAAATTTTCTTGTTCCACACATTGAAACAATAAAATAAAAGTTTGTGATTAACTTCAGTAGAAAAAGCAGTAGCAGAGGTTAGCACAACTATATGTTTTATTGATATTTAAAGACATTTTTTGAGACAGAAAACCACAGGAATAAAATCTTTTGTAAAGTATCCATGTCACAATTTCACAATTCATAACATCCAATTTAGATTCCAAAGAAAAACCAGTAATTACTTTTATTAAAACACTAAATATTGTTTTTTTTTTATGTCTATATTGGAATTTTTGGTACTAAAAAAACTTTTGTGTAGAAAAGAGAAGAAAAATCATTTAATTATTTATTATTCTTTCATATCTTAAGAATTAAGGCTCTTTGAAAACAGAGGGATAACAATTCTCATAAAGAATAAAAAATTTGGCTAAATAATAACTTATACTTAATAAGTCTAAATTCTGGATATAGACATTGTAACTTTTGGCCACAAACACTTGATTAACAAAGAAAAACCAAGGAACAAAGGCTAGTTTTTTATCGATGCAACTATTAACAGCTTTTTCGTATAAAACTCACTGTCTTCCTTTTTTGTTACGAAAGGATATCGCGGTATCAAAAATTGATCAGAATTTCAATTGTCGTAATATCAAAAATTCTACACAATTGATAAAATATTTAGTTGCCAAACTTTAAAGGAAAGATATTTTTTCTCCAACGGATTAATTTTTTCTTTGAAATGTTTTCTTGTGAAATCTTGTAAATGTTAACTTGTGAATTAAGCGGCATTTTGAATTAATCAACAGCCGTATTTTATGTTTAATAAAATTTAATAATTTAATAAACCTAATAAAATACAAATTGAGCAGGGTGTATGTCAAAAAGGAAGTCCTAATTTTATTTTCCATATTTGAAACTTTCTCCTTATTTATCATTTAAAATGCAAGTTATTAAAACGATACGCATTTTAGTGTAATAAAACTGAGGATGTGCATTGCAGACATCCACTAGATACGTCCCTGCAAACTTTTACTAAAAAGTCACAATTCGAAATTCGAAATTCGAAATAAAGTTTATATAGTAATAATAACTTAATTTTAAGATACCTTTAAAAAAAGAGTTAAACAACTATTTACAAATTGTTAAATTAATAAATTTATTATGCAGTGTTTAACAAAATTAAAAAAAAAAAAAAAATTGAAAAATATAATTATATCATCTAATAATAAAATGACTTTTTTTAAGTTTTTGTTTCAAAGTGTGATAATCATCTCTTGTTCCATCAACTAAAACTCATTCTCGCTTGACTGTTCATTCAGCAAAGTCTCATCCTTTTACTGTATCTATCCCTGCATGCTCTAAAAGCATTTATTAAACTAGTCCCCCCCCCCCCACCATTCAGGGCCAGCAAGAGTAGGTATCACGTGGGGAAGGGGGAGGGGAGGGGGAGGAGGAGGGAGGGGGAGGGGGAGTATGTCATTACAAATTTGCTGACAAAAAATAAGCCCTTGTTTTTTAGAATTTGCCAACGGCTTAGTCGACATTTGCCAACTGACTGTCTAAATTTACCGACTAACTTGTCTAAAGGTCTATATTTGCCAACGGACTTGTCTAAAAAGGTCAAATTTACCAACTAAAGGAACAAAAAAATTATTGATGAGGGTGAGGGTGTCACTCCCACCCCCCATCACGTTGACCTTGTCCTTTAAGAACTCTCTCTCTTGTTTTCATGTTTTTCTGACTAATACAACCTACAGCTTTTTAAGTCTTTTGTCAACCATTTTCTTTAACCCTATTCTTTGTTTTCTAGTAACTCCCAACTTTTTAGTGGTTGCTTGTTTCCTTGTTGGAGTGAATCAGAATAATATATATATATATATATATATATATATATATATATATATATATATATATATATATATATATATATATATATATATATATATATATATATATATATATATATATATATATATACGTAAGAGATTTTAAAATGTCTTAACAATAAGACATTTTAAAATCTCTTACGTATAGAGCGATATAGCATGTTTTTAGGGAGATTTGTGTAAATACGATATATTATAAATTCGAAGTAATTAAATGACATAACATTTCTATATAAGTTAAATTACTTAACATTGGTAGTACCAATAATAAATATATTTTATTCAACCGGCCTGTTAACTTAAGTTTTCGATATTCATTAATTTATTTTTTTAAGGAAACTCTAAGAATATTTAGTAATCTGGAGTAATTTATGATTATTTATGTCTTGATGTTATTAATTTAGTTTTTAAAATGCATCAATTGTTTTTTTTGTTGCTTGTCTATTCAATTACGTGTTCCGAGACCGATTCACCAATAAAAGATGAAAATGATGAAAAAGATAAAAATGATGAAAAAGATAAAAATGATGAAAAAGTGAAAATTATTAGGCTACCACATTGTAATGCTGATTGGTGTGATCCAAGTCACGAACCATATCCTAATATAGTTTCCATTATGACTGGATACAATATTCTTAGAGGGAACCCATTTACTTCTCAAACAAGCGATCCAGGTTTTTCTACAGGTTATATATTTGTTCCAACGTATAGAACAGAAGATGGAACCTATGCCCTTCACAGTGGAGTTACAGTTCGTCAGGTACTTTTATTTTTTCTAATATGATATATATATATATATATATATATATATATATATATATATATATATATATATATATATATATATATATATATATATATATATATAGAATTTACAATGCAGTCTCACATCGAGTTCAGAGACAATTAAAACCGTTAAAGATTATTTGAAAAGGATTAAAAAAGTTGCTTCAGTTGGAAAAACATTCGTTTCAAACCAAGAATGGCAAGTTTCTGCTGAGGCTGAAGTAGGTAAAGGTGGGGTGTCAGGCAAAGTTGGTGTCAGCACTACGATTCCACCTCTAATTGCATCTGCGTTTTTATCAAGCGAGGAATATAACGAAAACAGAAGATTTTTTACAGAAACGCAAGGTAAAAAGTCTTTTATGTATATATGTATATATATAATATATATATATATATATATATATATATATATATATATATATATATATATATATATATATATATATATATATATATATATATATATATATATATATATAATATATATATATATATATATATATATATATATATATATATATATATATATATATATATATATATATATAATATATATATATATATATATATATATATATATATATATATATATATATATATATATATATATATATATATATTTATATATATATAAATATATATGCATTTTGGAAAATGCCTTACAAAAAATCTTATTAATATTTGCAACGCAAAAACTCACCAAGAAGAAAAAGAATATTATTACGTTGGACTTACTGAAAAAACTTTCAAAAATAGGTGCTATAAGCATAAAAACTCTTTTGTTTATGAAAGTAAGGCCAACTCCACTGAACTTTCGAAATTTGTATGGGAATGCAAAAATAAATGTATAGAACCTATATTAAAATGGATTATTCTTGATCGAGCGGAGCCATTCAAACCTGGTGGTAAATTTTGCAATTTATGCAATTTATTATTATTCAAAAAAGTTTCAACTTGTACCGTATTTTTTACAAAAGAAGGAAACTTTATTTTGTTTTGTGTCGTTTTTTGCGAAACTGTATAAAAAATTTTCGATGGTTTCTTTTTAAAATTTCGTTTCCTTCAGAGTAATAAGCGCTCAAAACACAATGTGTACTTCTCAAACACAATGTGTACTTCTCAAACACAATGTGTACTTCTCAAACACAATGTGTACTTCTCAAACACAATGTGTACTTCTCAAACACAATGTGTACTTCTCAAACACAATGTGTACTTCTCAAACACAATGTGTACTTCTCAAACACAATGTGTACTTCTCAAACACAATGTGTACTTCTCAAACACAATGTGTACTTCTCAAACACAATGTGTACTTCTCAAACACAATGTGTACTTCTCAAACACAATGTGTACTTCTCAAACACAATGTGTACTTCTCAAACGAATAAGTTTTTGTTGAAAAGGCAAAAGTCACAAAATACAAATTTAAAAAATAATTAAATTAACTTCATGGTCAAAGTTTCTCAAAGTTTTGAAAAGTAATTTTCAAATAAAAATGCTATAATATTTAAAGAAATTAAATATTATATGCGGTGCAGTGGTTAGAGCGCTTGCTTTATAAGCAGGAGATCCAGGTTCGGAACAAGCTCTGGACATATTTTCGCGTCACGGTAAGGAAGGAGGTGTGAACTTCCTGGTTAAATGCACTTTCGCGGTGCTCTGTGACAAGACCGTTAGGTCTTCTTGGGGCACCAAAATAACAACAAGAACAAAAAAAAAATTGTCTTTTTAACCAAAATTTAAAAATAAATAAAGTAAACCATTTAAGTTAAAATAAAAAAATCAATTTTTAAGTGTCAAAGTAGTTTAATAATGAGTGAAATATTTCAAAGCAAAAACTAGTTAACATAAAAATTAGTTGTTATAAGAGCTGATCATTATCACTCAATTCTGGATCAATGTTACTTCCGCACTAATATCAGCAATTTTAGCTTCAGTTATTGGCCAAATCATTATTGTGTTGTAACACTCTTGATGTTCAACTAGGATGTAGATCATAATCTTGTCACCACAAATCCACAAATCAGAGCGACGAATCTTAATAAGATTTCCTATTAAGAATCTTAGTAAGATTAGTAAGGCTTGCAAGTCGAGCAAGAAAACTAATAAGATCTTATTAAGATTTGTAAGTTTACGTAAAAATTTTTAGAAAGACTTGTAAGAAATACAAAATCTTAATAAGATTTGTAAATTATATCATATTTTCGTAGTAAGATTTGTAAGATCTTATAAGATTATTTTGTAATTATTCCGACCCGACTAAATTCTACTCATATTTTTGCGTAAAGGTAGAATATTCTATCGCGAAAATATGAGTGAAATTTAGTAGGGTTGGAATAACTACAAAGTAATTTTATAAGATCATTTGAATATATGGTCACTTAAGATCGTACGGAACAGTCTTGCATAAGTAATTTGCTATATTATATGTTATATGAATAACATATAATATTGAGATGAACACAATTATTTTATTAGTTAAAAATATTTTTCGAGAAGAAATTATATGAAGAACTTAATTGTTTTATTTATTAGCTAAAAATATATATGCTAACAACTATATGCTAACAATATATATGCTATATGCGAACTATATGCTATATGCTAACCATATATAACTATATGCTAACAATATATATGCTAACAATTTAAAGTTAGTTATTTTATAGCTAAAATAATTTAGTACTTTAATTAATTTGTTCTTGAAAAAAATTTATAATTAAAAATATAACAGTGCTCATTTTAACAGTATATGTAATACATATAATATATTATACAAAAATTAATTATGCAAGATACTGCAAGATAATTACTTACCCATACTACAATACTTATTGAAAGTTATAAAAAAAAATAAAGTTTAAAAAATTACAGATTAGATAGAATAATACTCATAAAAACTTGATTGACTTAATTTTTTTTCTGTTATTTACAAATTAAATAAAAATACAAATAGAAGTCAACTTAGCTTATATTGATGCTCAGCAAGTGATAAAACTATACAATATAAAACTGTGCGCAGTTCAACTGTTCAACAGTTCAACTTAATATAAAATGTTTCCATTTTATATTAAAATCCATCTCGTTCAAAGCTGTGTCAACAAAGTAGTTTACAATCGCTTAATTAACTTTTCTACTAGTACACAATATTGTTAGCATTTATACTAGAATAATTTATTTTTGGAACGACATAGTAAAACTTTAAATTTTCTGCACCGAGATATTTTATGCAAAATTAATATTGTTTTATGACAATTCGCCACCAACAATGATGCGTAGATCAAAATTTTCCTGAATCTATAGTGTAAGAACAAAAAAATGATTTATTTAAATGTTATTGATAACTACTCAAGAATAAGACTTTAACGCATTTATCAGTGGAACTAATTATTAGTGGCTTGTTGCAGCTGCTTGTCGCCATTTACTTCTACATATTTAACAAAATACATGATAATACTATATAAATTAAAAATTATAAATTATATTTATTTTTAATATATTTGATAGCATTCAAAAATTTAGCTCAATAACTCTCAATAATAACTCAAATATTTAATAACAAATAAACACAAATAATTAGTAACAAACGATTTCAATATTTTAAAAAAAAAAGTAATATATTAATTATGTAAAACATTACTTTAAAACTTGCAAACACTTGATTTACTTTTTGTTGGTCGAGAAAAATATACTTTTTGCATACTACAAAAACACATATATAAAAATATATAAGGGAGGATAGGTAGGAGTGAGCCAAGGGTAGGAGTGAACCATTGAGCATACAGCTAAAATGGGAAATGAAAAAGACTCAAAATTTTTACCAAGTAGTTACATACAAATTGTTGTTAACACAGTCCAATTTTTTTACCGCTTCTTGGTGTGCATTTACGTTGTCATCCACTCTTTTCTGTGATGCCATCCACTCTTTTCTGTGTTAAAGTAAATTTTTTGTATTTTTTGAAACTTCTTTAACGAGCATACCGTCTGTTTTGAGACATTAGATATGGTTAAAATTTACTAATAAACAATATAGTTTTCATAACAAAGTGTTTTACATGCATAAACCACGTACTTATTGCACATTTAATGTTTTAATCCAGTTGTACAGCTTGGGGAGAAATGAGCCATTCCTTCACGCGTAGGAGTGAATCTCGGCTTACTATTACTTCACGTTAATAAAAGGTTTGACTTTAGCGTAAAAACATATTTAAGTTTGACTTTTTTATCTCAGTATATCATTAGAAAACTTGTGAGCAACATTTTATTTACTTTTACCATTTTTTTATGCCTCGAGTCTATAAAAAAACAACTTCGAAAATAAAGATATGAAAGATGAAAAATAAAGATATGAAAGATGACATTTAATCCAAAAAGTGCAGGCGGTGAGATCTGTTGCTAGGACACGCCCCTGACGAGTGGCGTTAGTGCAGGTCTTGGGCTCTCCGAAACGTCATTGGTGATCGCAGTGCATTCCTGAGGAGGGGGATCACCATTTATCCACTACTTAATTCTAATTGGTTATTATGGCACCAACATTTTTTTACCTCTTAAACCCATGTATTTTTGCGCTTTGTGAGCTTTTTATTATGAATTTGTTACATTAACGACATTTATATATTTTTATGTTACACAGGTGGTTATCAGTTCTCAATTTTTTATCTAGAGTTTAGAACATATATAGTACCACATTTATTAGACACTTGCATAGTGCGATTATTTTAGTTATGAATACCATTATAAACCAGCGGATTTTTATTGACTTGTTTACTCATAGATCATTGTTTCATCATTTGTTAAAAGATGACTAGAGTGTGAGTTTTTATTTCTCTTTTCCTGATTTGCTAACTTTTATTCCTCCTACTAAATAATCTTTACATTAATTTATGTTTTTTTACCTAAATGACATCATCTTCAATCTGTTTTTATTTTCACATCTCCCAGGTCTACGTAACTGGACGGCTCCGTTGGTCACTTTTTGCGATCATTGTGTCGCACATGCAAAAAAAAAAAAAAAAAAAAAAAATTAAAGATATGAAAGATGACATTTAATTCAAAAAGGAAAAAGTATTTGAGAAATTGCAATAACTTCAAAAATATTGCTACCACGGCCAACTTTTTCTGGAACAAGTAAAGGTCAGCATTGTCATTACAAACTTGAGGTTGTGTTTGACTATATTAGTATTTGCTAAATATTATTTTTATTGCCAATATACTACTTTTATTGCATATAAATATTTTTATTATATCTTAATATTTGGAAATTATCATTTTTCATGACAGTTTTTTGTTTTGCTATCAAAATCAGTTGTTACTGAAAACATTTTTTCTGTTAGTTTATACAT